CGTGTTTCGAGAAGGCTTTTTCATAGCGTTAGGGTTACTCTCAGATAAATTAATCTAATTTGTGGGAACCTATCATATTCGAAGACACGTGAGCCCTCGCAAGCCTCATTGCGTCAACCCCTCCAAGCTAAGCAAAATTAAAACGCTTAAGTAAAGATTTATAACTGTCTTTAATAGCAGTTGCGTAGATTATTGCACGATGTTTGACTAACGGCTTTGGCCGTCTTTAGCATTTATAAAGGCATCTGAATTGATGCACCACGCAAAGCATTCATGATCCGATGTATTTGAACGTAGTTCATCGCCTTTGCTAAAAATATTCTGTCCTCCTGGTGATTCTCGTCGAAGTAGAATGTACTTTGTCTCTTGGATTAGAACGCTAGTTCACTGCCACGACCAAAACCATACTCTGTACAAGACAGTAACTATTCAGCTGGCTAAGCTTTGTAAAAATCCTCGGTCGTCCTCCCCTTAAGTCATACCGAGCTGTATGATAAGCACTTCAGTTTTCTTGTCTGAATTTGCATTGTATCCTAAGTAATGACGATGAACGTTCCAATGTATTCGATAATCCCTCGAATACTCCAATTTTGTCTTTGGCTAGACAAGATTTTCCTTACATCAGACTATGGAAATGGTAAAGTTGCAGTTGACAGGGTCGCTCCGAGCCAGCGCAGGGAGTGTCGACTCCGCTTTCTGACCAAGTTTCATTTTTCGTAGTCTTATGGCAATAAATTGTTTTGGGTTATAGTTTATTGTTTGTTAGTCATGTGCGACTCGATTGAAGCTTCACGACCAGCTTGCAAATGAATGTAAATAATTTTAGCCCGCTTTAAATTTTCTCATTCTATAGGTAAAGGCGACGCCTGAAGCTGATCACACCAGAGCGCCGGTAGAGGCCTATTTTGGGGGTAGAGCCCAGAATACACGACCGGAAGTAGATTTCAACGCCAAGATGCCTATGGAAGAGTACTATAGTCTGTTCTATGGCAATAATCATTGGTACGCCTTTCTGCGCCTTCACCATCTCCTCCTTACTCGGCTTTCACAACTGCGATCTCGGGCTATTATCCTCCAGGAAGAACACGCCAAAGAAGGCGGCAAATCAAACCCTCAGGCCGCCGAAGTGTTGCGTCTTCGCAAAGCCGGTAAGCAAACCGCTTTTGTATGACTTATGCTGCGTTTGCCAACCGCTTTACACTGCCCCCATTCTTCATTTTGTAAACAGCCGGTAAATGTCTTTATTTCGTAATTCAGTATCTTGAATTCGCAAAACACGGCATTCATTTTTTAGCGCCATACTTATTTTCCATGCCCAGCAGATATTTCCGTTAATCTAAACTCTTCCCTTCCGACCGTAGGTTGCTCTGAACCGAGGGAACACTACCACAGGGCCCTTAATCTAGTGAAGGACTTACTTGATGGCTGCGAGGACATTCAGACCTATGAGGATCGTCTTCGTGACATGTTTGGAATCTACGCCTACCCATGGTTCACAATGGACCGACTGGTTACTAATTTGGTCCGCCAGCTGCATTTACTCGCCAGTGGGGATGAACTAAGCCACCGGCTTACCTCTTTGTTTCGTAGCTACTTTAAATCCTCAATCAACCGCTCTGCCTGCGGCGGAAATAAATCCAAACAGGAGCCCGAACTCTGCGATTTTATGCCAAAAAGCCCGATACCAGTGTAAGTTTTCTGGCACTCATAAGACTTATGTAAATTTGAGTTCCAAACATGTAGAGCTTTGCATTCACCAACTTAAAAACTGTCCGCTTCGTGAATTTTAATACCACAGTTTACCCCCTCTTAGTACTAACGCCATCTGTGGCCCTCTGAAAACCCGCTTCATGCGCCTGAAAG